ACCCTTGCAGATATACACAGTCCAAGGTGATAAAGTTAGAAACCACAAGGACTATGAATCTGTGCACGGGGGCTTAGGCAGGAACAGTAACCGGGTAGGTGGAAACAGACAAGGGCAAATCCAGAAGAGTAGTCAGCCACGGCTCCAAAAGTCAGGCCAGGCAGCGAACAGGCAATAACTAATGATCCAAACAGAAAGGGTCACAAGCCAAGTCAATCTTAGGAAACAGGATACAAGAAACAAAGAATTGACAATGTTCTCAGGGAGGGGCAGTGTTTTATGCCCAGCTAATGAGTGAACTGCCTCAGGTTAACTTAGATGGACAGGTAGAAGCCACTGGTGATGTCCAGCCCCCTAGTGCTGCAGGCAATGCCAAGAAAACAAAGTTGGAACCAAAGTTCAGAAGTGGCTCAGAAGCAGGAATTCAGGCTTAGGATGCAGAAGCACCCCAAGTTTAAATCCCCTGTTGGGCACTTCTTGGACGACCACACCTGGCTGTCTGGATGGCACGGTGAGAACCATGACAACCAGTGACTGAACTGTTTTGTATATGATATGAGTCTTGTAATGGAAATTTAACCCCTTAAGGACCAAACTTCTGGAATAAAAGGGAATCATGACATGTCACACATGTCATGTGTCCTTAAGGGGTTAAAGATTGATACATGGCTGCCAAGAATTACAAAAAATAAGGATCCCAATAGACATATGCAATTCGTTTCGGGCCGAATATGAATTCGGACGAATTTCGGACATTCGGGTACTTCCGAATGTCCGAAGTGCCGAATTACCGAGGTCCCGAAGTTCCGAAATTACCGAATTTCCGAAGTGCTGAAGTTCCGAAGCACAGTATTGCCTAAGTACTAATATACTTACCCAGTGGAAGAAGAAGAATGTTACACTGTATACAATTTTAAATAAAAAGTATACAAACATAGCCAGGATTCAGCTGTAAGCATTTGCAACACTTACAACAATCAAGTAACACACATTCATATAAAATGTAAGTTACTTGGCCAGTCAGTGTAATGAGAGGCATGAATAAGTAGATAACTCCCTAATTTCCACGGTATTAGGGAGCTATCTACTGAAAGGCTGAAAGACCTGAATTGGTCTTTCAGCCAAATTTACTAATACTAAGTAAAGATTACTTAGTATTAGTAAATTATGCCCCTACTCGCTATACCGCCACCTATTGCCCCCCCCCCCACCCCGGCCCCAACCCCTGAACAACGGGTGGGGGCCCTAAAGTAAAATAAGGGGGGGGACCTATTGTCCTCCCCCCAGCCCCCACCCATGAGCGTGATTGGTTGGTTTGAAATCCACCAATCAGAGTGCTCTGTGTCATTTTACACAGCGTGGGAAAGTTCTTTGGAATTTTCCCACGCGGTGTAATTTGACTCATAACACTCTGATTGGTGGATTAAGTAACCAATCAGAGAGTTATGAGTCAAATTACACAGCGTGGGAAAATTCCAAAGGACTTTCCCACGCTGTGTAAAATGACACAGAGCACTCTGATTGGTGGATTTCAAACCAACCAATTAGAGTGCTGTGACAGGTAAATGTAGAGACTTACCTGTCAGTCTCTTCATTTACCTGTCAGAGCACTCTGATTGGATGGCTTAAACCCACCAATCAGAGTGCTCTGAGCCTAATTGCAGGGCATGCAAGGCTTTATAAGCCTTCCCCCGCTCTGCAGAGCTCAGTCTGCGCGGAGCCCTCGTTTTTTTTTAGTTTTTTTTTAAGTGCGTCGGTTATTATGGCTTTTTATTTGGCCTTTTTCGGGGCTGAAGAAAGAAAACATCAAATGGTAAGTTTTATTTTTTTTTCAGTTAAATGGTCCCCCCTCATTATTTTTAGGGTGAGGGGGGTATGTAGGGGTTAATTTTGTGGGGGAGGGAGGTGACTAGGGGTTTGGGGACCCCTAGACACCCGAGGGAGGGGGGTATTTTTTTTATTTAGGGCCCCCACCCACCGCTCGGCGTTGGGGGCCAGGGGGGAGGACATTAGGTCCCCGCCTCATTCTAATTTAGGGCCCCCACCCACCGCTCAGGGGTGGGGGCCAGGGGAGAGGACATTAGGTTCCCCCCTAATTAGTCTTTAGGGCCCCCACCCACCGCTCAAGGGTGGGGGCCAGGGGGGAGGACTTTAGGTCCCCCTCTAATTAGTTTTTAGGGCCCCCACCCACCGCTCAGGGGTCGGGGCCAGGGGGGAGGACGTTAGGTCCCCCCATTCTTATTTAGGGCCGCCACCCACTGCTCAGGGGTGGGGGCCGGGGGGGAGGACAATAGGTCCCCCCCATTATTTTACTTTAGGTCCCTCACCCGCTGCTCAGGGGTGGGGGCCGGGGGGAGGACAATAGGTCCCCCCCATTATTTTACTTTAGGGCCCCCACCCGTCGCTCAGGGGTGGGGGCCGGGGGAGAAGGACAATAGGTCCCCCCCCCAATATTTTACTTTAGGGCCCCCATCTGCCGCTCAAGGGTGGGGGCTGAGGGGGGGCAATAGGTCCTCCCCCATTATTTTACTTTAGGGCCCCCATCTGCCGCTCAGGGGTGGGGGCATGGGGGGGGCAATAGCCCCGCTTTAGTTTAAAAGCCCCCACTCGCACGTCACGGGTGGAGGCTCGGGAGGGGGGACCCATTTTTAAAAGCCACTGGCTGCTCACTGTTTCATAGACATGCCCCTACTTTACTTAGTATTAGTAAATTTGGTCTTTCAGTCTTTTGGTAGATAACTCCCTAATACCATGGGAATTAGGGAGTTATCTACCAAGAGGCTGCAAGAGACGTTCCGAAATTCCAAAGTCCCGAAGTTGCCGAAGTGCCGAATTGCAGAGGTCCCAAAGTTACCGAATTTCCAACGTGTCGAAGTTCCGAAGTCCTGAATGCCGAACCAAACCGAAAATTTTTCCCATGCACATGCCTAGATCCCAATTCAATTTGAACACAAAATCTAATTTGGAAAGACATAACCCCAAAGTGGGTTTTGTATGTTGGAATTCAAGGGTGGAATATGGTCTTCTTGGCAGTAGCCAAGCCTATGAGAATAATTTTTTATTTATTTTTATTTGGTTTTGCATAAAGTAATATTCACATTCTTTAACAATGCGTCCAAAGTGCAATCATATTTTGCATTTATAAGTAAAACATTTAAAAATAATCTGTTGGTCTTTGGCATTCAGTATTTCGGTTATTACAACGTTACACATCTACAATTTAAACAAACAATGAATTAGTTGGTGCAGTTTCAGTGTCAGGAAAATGATTGTCGATTACATGTAGTCTTGAGCTTATACATTTGATGTCATACATTTGTTTGAGTCATACATTTGTTTGATTTAGCATTCTCTCTCGGCGTGTGTGTATGGGTATATTCCCTTTCCCTCTCTCTTGGTCAACTGGGTGTGCATTTACGATATCCCCCCTCCTGTCTCTCCCATGAAATTAATCAATTTTTCCCATGTGGAACGAAATATCTGGTTGGTTTTTGATAAGGTGTATGATAAGGTGTAGGAGTTCTTCCATTTGTTTTATCTGTTCCACCCTGTGTATCCATTCCCTTAGGGGAGGGGGGTTTGCCTGTTTCCAGTATTTAGGGATCAATTGGTTTGCGGCCGTTAGGAGGTGGGCCAGTAGGGCAGTTGTGTGTTTGTTTATGTCTGGTATAGGTAGCAGGAAAAGCACATATTCTGGGGACATTGGGACTGTAACTCTCGTGACCATTTTAATCAGTGATTATTCTGTGCCAGAATGTACTAATTTGTGATGTGAATAAATTTAGGGTTATTAAGGGTACTATCTTGAAAAAAATACAGTCTAAGGCAAGACGGTATCTTTTCTTATACTTTAAAATGTGAGGAATGTTAAGGCATATATTAAATAGGAAATGTGTTTTTTTGTTTTTTTTTATTGGATCGGAGGGTGAAAGCAGGTGAGGTGGACAGAAAACCGTATGTGTGTAATGCAACTTTTATTACACTCAGTACGTCTTCCTTGAGGAGTTCCCTCTGCAGGGACACATTATTAGTTCATAATTGTATATATTGTATTATACTAGTGTTATTTTCTTGCCTTATAGGGTATTGCATTGACGGGTCAATTTGCCCCATAAGAGTTTATAACCCACGCTTCCTCTCATCCCAGTAGCTCAGAGGGTCATCAGTAGGAAGTAAAACACATCTGGACAGGTAAGCTCTGATCATTTCAGAAGTACTACTTTCCCTTAAACTGCTGGCTGATTTACTTTCTCCTCCCAAACCACCAACAGCATTAAGCCAAAACTTAAGGGACCACTATAGTGCCAGGAAAACATACTCGTTTTCCTGGCACTATAGTGCCCTGAGGGTGCCCCCACCCACAGGGTCCCCCTCCCGCCGGGCTATAGGGTGAGGAAGGGGTTACACTTACCTCTTTCTCCAGCGCCGGGCCGGGGTCTCTCCTCCTCCTCTCCGCCTCCTCGGCTGAATGCGCATGCGCGGCAGGAGCAGCGCGTACATTCAGCCAGTCCATAGGAAAGCATTCACACTGCTTTCCAATGGACGCTGGCGTCTTCTCACTGTGAAAATCACAGTGAGAAGCGCGGAAGTCCTCTAGCGGCTGTCAATGAGACAGCCACTAGAGGCTGTATTAACCCTATTATAAACATAGCAGTTTCTCTGAAACTTTTATGTTTATAGAAAAAAGGGTTAAACCTAGCTGGACCTGGCACCCAGACCACTTCATTAAGCTGAAGTGGTCTGGGTGCCTATAGTGGTCCTTTAACTGCTCCACTCTGCTGCTACAGTGATGTTCATCCGGAACAAATTCCCTGTTTTCCAGGAAGGCATCCATCATTTTTATGAGGTGGGTGAACAATAGGATGACCTTTTCCAATACCTTTCATATCACCAATGTATCATGACAAGGTTTCCCACTATCGCCCCTACTATATACAGGGAGTGCAGAATTATTAGGCAAGTTGTATTTTTGAAGATTAATTTTATTATTGAACAACAACCATGTTCTCAATTAACCCAAAAAACTCATTAATATCAAAGCTGAATATTTTTGGAAGTAGTTTTTAGTTTGTTTTTAGTTTTAGCTATGTTAGGGGGATATCTGTGTGTGCAGGTGACTATTACTGTGCATAATTAATAGGCAACTTAACAAAAAACAAATATATACCCATTTCAATTATTTATTATTACCAGTGAAACCAATATAACATCTCAACATTCACAAATATACATTTCTGACATTCAAAAACAAAACAAAAACAAATCAGTGACCAATATAGCCACCTTTCTTTGCAAGGACACTCAAAAGCCTGCCATCCATGGATTCTGTCAGTGTTTTGATCTGTTCACCATCAACATTGCATGCAGCAGCAACCACAGCCTCCCAGACACTGTTCAGAGAGGTGTACTGTTTTCCCTCCTTGTAAATCTCACATTTGATGATGGACCACAGGTTCTCAATGGGGTTCAGATCAGGTGAACAAGGAGGCCATGTCATTAGATTTTCTTCTTTTATACCCTTTCTTGCCAGCCACGCTGTGGAGTACTTGGACGCGTGTGATGGAGCATTGTCCTGCATGAAAATCATGTTTTTCTTGAAGGATGCAGACTTCTTCCTGTACCACTGCTTGAAGAAGGTGTCTTCCAGGAACTGGCAGTAGGACTGGGAGTTGAGCTTGACTCCATCCTCAACCCGAAAAGGCCCCACAAGCTCATCTTTGATGATACCAGCCCAAACCAGTACTCCACCTCCACCTTGCTGGCGTCTGAGTCGGACTGGAGCTCTCTGCCCTTTACCAATCCAGCCACGGGCCCATCCATCTGGCCCATCAAGACTCACTCTCATTTCATCAGTCCATAAAACCTTAGAAAAATCAGTCTTGAGATATTTCTTGGCCCAGTCTTGACGTTTCAGCTTGTGTGTCTTGTTCAGTGGTGGTCGTCTTTCAGCCTTTCTTACCTTGGCCATGTCTCTGAGTATTGCACACCTTGTGCTTGTGGGCACTCCAGTGATGTTGCAGCTCTGAAATATGGCCAAACTGGTGGCAAGTGACATCGTGGCAGCTGCACGCTTGACTTTTCTCAGTTCATGGGCAGTTATTTTGCGCCTTGGTTTTTCCACACGCTTCTTGCGACCCTGTTGACTATTTTGAATGAAACGCTTGATTGTTCGATGATCACGCTTCAGAAGCTTTGCAATTTTAAGAGTGCTGCATCCCTCTGCAAGATATCTCACTATTTTTGACTTTTCTGAGCCTGTCAAGTCCTTCTTTTGACCCATTTTGCCAAAGGAAAGGAAGTTGCCTAATAATTATGCACACCTGATATAGGGTGTTGATGTCATTAGACCACACCCCTTCTCATTACAGAGATGCACATCACCTAATATGCTTAATTGGTAGTAGGCTTTCGAGCCTATACAGCTTGGAGTAAGACAACATGCATAAAGAGGATGATGTGGTCAAAATACTCATTTGCCTAATAATTCTGCACTCCCTGTATATTGACATCAGAACCACTTTAAACCACATTGGTAAGAAACAACCCAAACATATACGGTGTCATATTCAACAAAAAGGAATAAAAAGTTTCATTGTTTGCAGACTAAGGCCTCCTGATTTTAGACCAACCTTTGGTATCATTCCGAAATTTTCATAAACATTTGTCTTCTTATAAAATGAATGTTACAAAGATGCAAGCTATGGATCTACACCTCCCACACCAAATATTACAAACTTTTATGCTTCAAGAATGCTTAGACCAGATGGAGGAACACAACTGCAGAATTAATAGGTAGTACTATACCTTAAAAACAAAAAGAAAATGCTTTGAATCCCTTGAGACATTTTATTTAGCTTCAACGAATTTAAGTTGTAGACTTAATTGCAGATTGGTATGCAGTAAGAAAAAGACTTTACCTTGGTTCTGGTTGCAACAATTTTGAAGAGAAAGTAACAAGTCCTTTTTAATACAAAATAGTAGTTAGTTGCATAGGAATGTGATTGGATTTGATTGTAGAAATTTAACAATTATTAAGTAGTAACAAAGTTCCTTATTACTTGATAAGTAGTTAATAATTGGCCCATGGGAATTGATAAGACGTATTTGTAGAATTACAAAAAGAATTATGCAGATAATCATTTGATTAAGTAAATTGAATAAGAAATAATTAGTGATACCTATGGTTTTCCGTGAGAATCCTAAGGATGATGTTCTTAGTAGAATTTGAAGAGATTAATATGTATCCAAGTATTTTTTGTCAATCTTTCTTTTATTGAGGCTTAAAGTTGCAAGGGTACAGAATAAAAGAGGGGCGACGATAAAGATACATACAGGGTGGGAACAGCACAGTGCAGTGTATATGTCACGACTACTAGTGTGGTCCAGCACGCAGAAACTATGTAAACATATACATAGGCAAGAAAAGGAAAATAAAAGGACAGAGCGTAAACCGGACCTTAGAATGGCCAGACTAATACGCTAGAGACAGAGAATGGTCAAAGGGAAAGCCGAGGTCAAGGAAGCCAGAAAATACACAATACCATTTACACAAGCCAAGTCAGGGAAACCAGAATTCAGAATAACCAGGGAAAAGCCAAGATCAGGATACCAGGAAATCAGATTCACAAAGATAAAGCACTCTCAGGAAAGCAGGAACAGGAAACCACGACAGGGCAAGGTACTGGGGTGAGCTAGGGATTTAAATATTCCTCTCTAAGGTCTGATTGGTCAGAGGGCGACCTCTGACCCCAAAACGTGCGTGCGCGTTGACGTTGTGCCGTCACGCGCACGTCAGTATAAACTTCGGGGGCGGGGCTATGTTTAGGCACGACCACGCGGTCAGCACCATTTTGGATCCGGGCGCGAGGGCCAGAGGATGCAGGGAAGCGGCTGTCGGCTCGCTGACGAGCAGGTAAGCTCGTTCTGTCGGCGAGGCTGTGCCGGTTGGGCACAGCCTTTCCACGCGGCAGGCCGGCAACCGCGACAGTACCCCCCACTCGAAGACCGCCCACCGGACGGGAAGGACCCGGCTTGAGGGGAAAGCGGTTGTGAAACGACCGGACAAGACGGGGAGCATGAACCCGGTCAGCAGGAACCCAACAACGTTCCTCAGGGCCATACCCCTTCCAGTCAACAAGATAGGACAAGATACCTCTTGACATTTTGGAGTCCATTATAGAACGAACTTCGTACTCCTGCTGGTCACCCACTACCAAGGGCGGAGGAGGAGTGGACACTCTAGTGTATCGATTGCAAGTAAGAGGCTTGAGTAAAGATACATGAAAAGAATTGGCAATCCTCATATGGGCAAGAAGAGCCAAGGAATAGGTCACTGGATTGATATGTCGAATGACTCGAAAAGGACCTATGTACCGAGGGGCAAATTTCATGGAAGGAACCTTAAGTTTGATATGGCGTGTGGATAACCACACCTTGTCACCTGGATGATAGACAGGATTGGCACCCCGTTTCTTGTCAGCTTGGACTTTCGCACGTATCGAAGCCTTTTGTAGAGCTGAATGAACGGAATCCCAAGTATCATAAATAGATTCTAAACGGGTGTTTAAAGCAGGAATGTCCGTGTCTGAGAATTCAGAAGGGAAAATTGTGGGGTGATAACCCTGATTCACAAAATATGGACTATGGCGAACTCAGCCATAGGTAAAAGCTTATACCAGTTAGACTGATTGGCATTGATAAAACAACGTAAATAGGATTCTAAAGACTGATTGGCTCTCTCTGCTGCTCCATTTGTTTGAGGATGATATGCTGACGAAAAAGAGAGTTCGATACCCAATTGTTTACAAAAGGAACGCCAAAACCTAGAAATAAATTGGGTACCTGTCAGGGTACCTGTTGGTGCTGAATCCAGGGAAGACATCCTCTCTGTTTAGGGGCTCCCTGCCCCTAGCATTTCGGCATATTCCGGCCGTTTTCGCGCCGGCCGCGCTAGCTCCTCCCCCTTTTATGACGCGACGGCTAGCGTCGACGTCATGACGTCGGCATTTACATAAAGTGCCGGGAACCGCTATTCCGGACCTTTTGGGGGCGTGGTCTCTATTTAGGTAACAGGGTATTTAAAGGAAACCTTTACTACTGCTCATTGCCCTGTCGTGGTTCTAGCTTGCTAGTCACTCAGCGCGTTCTTTATCTTGTGTTTCCGGTTTTGACCCTTGCTTGTCTTTTGTCCTGTTGTCCTCTCCTCTCCTTTGACTCGGCTTGTATCTCGCTTACCTGTCCTCCGGCTCCCTCGACCTCGGCTTACCTTTTGACTATTCTTGCTTTGTCCCTACGTTAGTCCGGCCATTCTAAGGTCCGGTATACGTACCTCCTTCTGTCCGCACTCTGCGTATTGGATCCCTGTCAGTATCCTGACATTACCTCTGTCAGACGTTATGTTTTTGGGTACTCCATGCAATCGAAAGATCTCTCTCAAGAATATCTGAACGAGATCTTGAGCAGATGGTAATTTTTTAAGAGGAACAAAATGTGCAATCTTTGAGAATCTATCGATGACCATAAGGATTGTATTAAACCCGTTTGAACTGGGTAGATCCACAATAAAATCCATGGCTAAATTGGTCCATGGAGCATTAGGTATGGGCAGTGGTTGTAACAGTCCAGAGGGTGATATAGGAGGAACTTTAGAAACGGCACATATTTGACATGCTCCCACATAATCTTTGATATCGTTCCTAAGATTAGACCACCAAAACCTCCTGGAGATAGCAGAGAGGGTTTTATGGATTCCAGGATGACCTGCTGTGAGAGTATCATGGAATAAAGCAAGTACCTTTTTCCTTAATGGAGGTGACACATACAGTTTTCCAGAGGTTTTCCCACGGGTGCCTGAGTTTGATCTGCTATTATGGCACAGAAGAGTGGAGAAGACACTTCGGAAACTGTGGTGGCAATGAGGTATTCTGGAGGTATGATAGGATATACCTCCTGTTCAGGAGCTTCATCTGTCTCAAACTGTCTAGACAGTGCATCTGCCTTTGTGTTCTTGGTCCCAGGCCTATAAGTAATTACGAAATTGAATCGGGAGAGGAACAATGACCATCTAGCCTGACGAGAGGACAATCTCTTAGCGTCCCCAATATAAGCCAAATTCTTATGATCGGTTAAGATCAGAAGTGGCTCTTTGTAACCAAGAGATGCCTCTATTCCTTAAGGGCAAGTACAATGGCCAAAAGTTCCCTATGTCATAATTTTTCTCTGCAGGTGTGAGTTTGCGAGAGAAAAATCCACAGGGATGTAAAGGCACATCAGGACTTTCT